CATTTCATATGGCATACCTCTGTCTCTCTTGGTCTGTTTACTTGTCACTGAAACTTCAGCTTTGAGGCACAGAACTGTATTTAATGCTTCATTCTTTACTCAGACAAAATGCCACTACTGATGGAGATTTAGTCTGAAAACTGCCAGATTAAGGTGTCAGAAATCTCAAGTGGGCAAATCATCCCAACAAGTCCAGTCACTGACATAGTCAAATGTTCAGGACTCAGGTTATGAATTTGTTACAAAATCAAGTGTTTGTGAACACATCAGTGTTTAATTAATCTTACCTATAGTTAAATATCTGCCATATGGCCATACATAGCAGAGCTAGCTAAACATAATCAGCTAGATCACTTTGTAATCAAAAGAGAGAGGTGCACTTCTCATCCTGATGAGATTCATCTCATCCTGTTGTAGATACCTACAATAGGCAGATGAAAAAGTGCCTATTTCCCTCCTTTAGCTAAGGTTGGGATGTTGAACTTCGATGTGCATAGACATCCACTGTAGAAATTTTAGATAGGATTCATTTCCATAACATAATACCTTGTTTTAGGTCTTTATATGTAGAAATCTATGTATGAGATGATGTCTAGGCTACCATGATCCCATAATAGTAAATGGAAAATTTAATATAACTGATAAAGCATAGAAAATAATGCAGTATACATTTAATGCTTATTTCAGTTATCCTCAGATAGACTCAGATTGTCATTTGAGGTGTTCTTGTGTATCTGGCATATGGGTCACACTGGAAATATTTGTTTGGGCTGGCAGCTGGAAGCCAAATTTGGTATGTTAAAGATCTCAAATGGAGATATCCCCTTACACAGGCTTTCAGGAAAGACAGGGAAAGTAAGGAGGAGGGTTAGTACTCTATGCAAAGGAGCACCTAGAGTGCATGGGATAGGCGATGAGCCAGTCGAGAGGTAATGGTAAGGATTACAGGACATACCAACACTGCTGCTGCTTTGGTAAATGTCTGATACAGGCTGCTTGATCAAGAAGAGGAGGTAGATGATGCCTTTAGATACCTCAAAGAAGACGCACAATTGCCAGCCCTGGTACTTAATAAGACCCTTCAACCACCCTGATATTTGCTGGCAGAGCTACATGGCTGGGCAGGAAGAACTGATCAGAGACACGAAAGTTGAGGCAAGTCTTGACTGCAGTGGCTGTGAGATAATAGAATTTAAGATTTTGAGGTAAGTGAGCCATACAAATAGTAGAATCACAAGTCTGGACTTCAGGAGAGCGGATTATGGCTTAGTCAAGGATCTGCTTGGCAGGGTTCCGTGGGAGACCTCCCTGGAGGGCAAAGGGCCCAAGAGAGCTTGTTGATTGTCAAGGACAGTCTCCTCAGAGCAGAAAAGCAGTCTTTTTCAGTGGACAGAAAAGCAAGCAAGCATGGCAGAAAGCCAGCCTGGATGAATTGAGAGACCACTGAATTGAGCTTTAACACAGAAAGGAAATATATGAAGGTGGAAGCAGGAGACGTTGCTTGAATGCATGTAGTTGGAGTTAGGAAAGCCAATGCTCAGATGGAGCTGAAATTAGCAATGAATGTGAAGGCATGGGACTTTGTGACCAAGGACATGGAAAAGGATGAGGTAGCTAGTGTGTTTCCCCTGCTCCGCACCTTGTTTTTCACTGGTAAGGTATGTCATCTGGCCTTCCAGTTTCCCAAGACTGCAAGCAGAGAGTCTCTAGGAATGCAGCATTGCTTGTCTTAGAGCAAAACAGAATCAGAAAGCACTTAAAACAGTTGAACATACAGATTTCCATGGGACCAGAAGGGATGGATCCAAAGCTGATGAGGAAGCTGGCTGATATCATTGCAACTGCTTTTCAGAGATGATGATCTCTGAAAGGCCAATGTTGTTAGGAGAAGTTTCTGCTGATTCAAAAAAGGTTGTGATGGGTTAACCTTGCTGGTCACCAGGTGCCCACCAAGCTGCTCTATCACTCCCCCTTCTCAACCGGACAGGGGGACAAAATATGACAAGAAAAGCTCATGGGTCGAGATAAGGACAGGGGGATCGCTTGCCAGTTACCATCACGGCCAAAACAGACTCGACTTGGGGAAATTAATTTAATTTATTGCCAATTAATCAGAGTAGGGCAATGAGAAATAAGAAAAAATCTAAAACCACCTTCCCCCACCTCTCCCTTCTTGCCAGGCTCAACTTCACTCCTGAGTTTTCTACCGTCTCCCCTGCCAAGCAGCACAGGAGGATGGGGAATGGGGCTTACGGTCAGTTCATAGCGCTTTGTCTCTGCTGCTCCTCTTCCTCACACTCTTCCCCTGCTCTACTGTGGGGTCCCTCCCAGAGGATACAGTCCTTCACGAACTGTTTCAACATGGGTCCTTTCCATGGGGTGCAGTCCTTCAGGAACAGACTGCTCCAGTATAGGTCCCCTAAGGGGCCACAGGTCCTGCCAGGAAACATGCTCCAGCGTGGGCTCCTCTCCATGGGCTGCAGTTCCTGACAGAAACCTGTCCGTCATGGGCTCTCCACAGGCTGCAGCTTCCTTCAGGGCATATCCACCTGCTCTGGAGTGGGGTCCTCCACCATGGACCTTCATGGGCTGCAGGGGGACAACCTGTGTCACCCTGGTCTTCACCACAGGCTGCAGGGGAATCTCTGCTCTGGTGCCTGGAGCACCTGCTCCCCCTCTTTCTTCACTGACCTTGGTGTCTGTAGGGCTGTTTCACATACTCTCACTCCCCTCTGTCTCAGCTGTTGCAGGGCATTTTTTACCCTTTCTTAAGTATTTTGTCATGGAAGTGCTAGCAACATCACTAATTGGCTTAGCTTTGGCCAGTGGCAGGTCTGTCTTAGAGCTAGCTGGAACTGGCTCTCTCTAACATGGGAGCAGCTTCTGGTGTCTTCTCACAGAAACCACCCCTGCAGCCCCTCCACTACCAAAACCTTGCCACCTAAACCCAATACATAAGTAAACATCGTAGCCACCTGCCTACAGGCCACTAAGCCTTACCTCGGTCCCTGGGAAGGTGATGGAGCAAATCTTTCTAAAAGCCATTTTCAGTCTCGTGAAGGACAAGAAGGTGACTGGGAAGAGTCAGCATGGATTTACCAAGAACAAATTGTGCTTCAGTAACCTCGTAGCCTTCTATGATGAGATTTCTGGTGGCATGGATAAGAGCTGACTGGCAATCAGACTTAAGGGGTAGTAATCAGCAGGTACAAAGTCCAACTCGTGGCCAGTTAACAGTTTTTTCCCTCAGGGATTGATAATGGGGCCAAACTGTTTTTATTAATGCTGTGTAGGATAGGATGAGTGTACTCCAAGGAGATAACACCAAATTTGGGGGAGCAGCCAATATGGGAGGTCAAGGCTGTTTACTCAGAGGGACCTGGACAGGCTAGAAAAATGGACTGACAGGAACCTCATGAAATTTAATAAAGGCAGACACAAAGTCACGTGTTTGGAATGGAATAACTGTATGCAATGGTACAGAAACCAAATGCCATCTTTCCAGTGAGGACAAATGCAATATCTTTGGCAAATGCAATATATATTTTTTAAAGACTGATGAAGTTCCAAATAAGTTGTTAAGAAATAAAAAATTCAAATACAATGGAAAAATCTGAGAAGTAATATATGAATTAGTAATTCATTATTCATAAAAAAGGGAAAATATAGGAAGTTATCCCCTAAAATATTTTGTTTATTTAGCATTTGAGGTAAAATGGTGAGGCATTTAATTAGTTCAATTAAAAGAAGAAAAGAGTTTTTATTTTTTATTGATTCTAAGAAGTAAGAAGACATCCTAAATTATCTCATTTTTAAAGACATTAAATTGGCTGTCCAATTAGTCATAGAACAAATATCTAAATAGAAAAACAGCAGCATGGGTTTGACCAGGAATAATGATGTTTAGCAGTGCATTTGATATATGGTTACTGATACTGCTTTATTCTTTCCCTTGAGTTTCAACACCGACTAAAAAAGAGGCAGGATGCAGGTTTCATTATTGATCACATTGTCTCCAACTTTGCACACAGATTTTTTTTTCCTAGTTTACAATAGCAATAATTACCTCATTAAAAGAATTTCCTAAGGATTAATGTAATTGAATGGCTAAGCTTGATAAGCCTTTTCAACTAAGATTTTTGTTGCCAACCCATCTCCAAGAAATGCTCTAACTTTTTTTGTGGATATTTAGGCTCATCTTTGAGATTGATCACATCTACCAGCACCTTCATGTGAGCGGGAGATTCACAAACTCTGAAAGAAAAAAAATGAGAGAGGCTCATCTCAAACACATTTAACCACTGGCCCCTGTTTCCTGATTATTCACAAAAATGCTGTTTCCCAAGGCAATAAGTATAAGTATACTACGAGCACATGATAATATTTTTCTTCTACTTCTCAAATAAGCAGTTTCCTGTTTAACTGGAACTGGAATCAACATCGGACTAACAGTCTTGAGAGGATAAAGATTACTGCATTTTCTGGAAAATAAGGGATCATTCATATGGAATCTAGCTCAAAGCTTCAAAGAAGAAACAAGGAGAAAATGGATATATTTCCTTAAGGATGCCATTGATAGGAGTCAGCGCTGAGCAAAGCAAGGCTCCTAAGGATGAAGTTCCAGAGGAACATGTTCTGCTAGTACTCTGCCTGAAACCTGCAGTTAATTATTCTATAAGTACATATAAGAATGCTGTACTATACTGACAGATTATTATTCATGATTTCAGGGAAAAATAAGTCTTCAGCCTCAGATTTAGTTTATTTACTTTTAACAGATAGAGTCTTTTGGCCTTTTTATACATAATACCGCTAATCTCAGAAAAATTTACAGAAACAATGCATGCGCATACGTTTTATTATGAATAACAACGAATTTTGAATTATGCTATTTTCATAGAATCATAGAATCACTAAGGTTGGAAAAGACCTCTAAGATCATTGAGTCCTTTTTTTTTTTTTTTTTAAATTAAAAAAAAAAAAAATTGACAATGAGTACATTTATTGAAGTGTTTGAAGTTCTGCACTCCACTGGACACAGTCCATAACTTAAAGGCAACAGAGCAAAACATTGTGACAGGCTCCAACTGGAATATTAAAAAACTCACATAATCATGTCACTTAAGAAGTACAGTTAAATTGTTCAATCATTTTGGTCTTCATCCCAATCTTTCTTTCCTGATGGAAATTTAGGGCCACCAGCTGGTTTTGCCATAATGATCTGATCTACCCTTAGGACAGTTACTGCTGCATTTGTAGCTAGCTTGATACCCCAGGATTTTCCAAGGTATGTGTCTAATACACCAGCTTCCAACATATCCTCCACAGCAGCAGCTTCAGCCTCAATATCAAATCCAACATTTTTGTTCCCTTCCTGGTGCACAGCATAAAGTTTGGAGATTACCTCATTAGCCTTTACTCCAGAGTTTTCTGCCAGTGCTCGAGGAATGGCTTCAAATGCCTCATCAAACTTCTTGATGACATATTGGTCAAGCCCAGGACAAGTCTCTCCATAAGATGTGATCTGCTTGGCGAATTCAATCTCTGTTGCACCACCTCCAGGAACAAGACGTTTATCCCTCGTGAGTACTTTGAAAGTATTTACACCATCATCCACTGCTCTCTCTCTGTCATCCATCAGATTGTCTGTAGACCCACGAATAAGTATAGTAGAAATGGCACCATCCTTCTTTTATTCATGATTAAAATAGTATAACATTTTTCAACAAATATATTTGTACTAGAAAAGAAGAAAGCGCATAAACACTTATTCTGTTTCATTCCAGGGGCAGATAACAAAGCAATACGATTACCTAGTTGTCTTGAAAAAAAGCTGCAGTATTTACCTTTCCCAAACAAATAAAGATTGGGTATAACAAGTTCTTTCAAAATAAAAATTAAATACTGATTCATACCACAGCTAAATGGCCTGAAGGGTCTGAGCATTAGCTGCAAGCAGAGAATAAAGAGGAAATTGCCAAAAATTTTTTTTCTTGAAAGAAGGTACAGGTTGTTCTCTGCTTGTACTCTTTCTTAGCTGGTCACATACATTGCTGGAATAGGAAATTCTGAGTTGTAGACTGAACTCTTGGAGAGTGCAGTGGCTCCCACTAGCTCACATACCATGCTTTCCTTTCCATTGAAACCAGGGCAGGGTGGAGAAGATTTCCTGTGCCCAGATCTCATTCAATATATAATCAAGCCTCAGTAAGCCATGAGAGTAACACAGACAAGCCTAAGCATGTCCTTCCAACAAGCAGGTGGAACTGAGCACAGGGAAAGAAACTGGAAATGAGAAGAGGGAGAAAGACACATGAAAATTAGATAGAATTTATTTTAAAAAAAAAAAAAAGGAATAAAAATCATTTGAGAAAGAAAGGCTCAGAAAAGCAGGCTATCATTGTTTGAAATCTTTGACATAACCTTCCTAAATTATGCAAGTCATCTAGGTCTGCTTGGTTTTTTTAATTAATAGCTTACTTTGAACTTAGGTATTGACTAAGTAGTGGTGTTCAGTAACTTTAAAACCCCATAGACAAAGTCCTGTCAGAGATCTTCCTCTGGATAGTTAGTCAGTTTTAAAAGCTGCCAAATTAATTGATAAAACGTGCTGCTTGACACAGGTAGCACATCCTGCCTCAGAAGTTTGTTGCTGTGTCTGCTTCTAAACACTTCTCTCATGTTACATGCAAATAATTTTAAAACACCAGGTAGAACAGTGAGAAGTAGGAGATAAGCATTGGTATGTGTATGAAGAAAGACACAAGAAAAAGTACCTAGTTACTTTTAATTCTTCACTAAAACAGTGTTCACCTCCCTGTTCTGGCTTTTTCTTCCAGAGCTTCCTAGGAACAGCTGCAGCCTGAAGTGAAAGGACACCACAGGTGCCCTTTCCTGCTGTGTCAGCCAGAGCGAGAGGAGACCACAACTCCGTCACATCACTTGACGAGTGAAAAATATGCAGGTAAAGCTCCCCACAAGATAGGTACATTCTCCCCTGCTGTTTCTTTTTATGGGATTTGCTCTTAATATAGCCTTTGGCTCATGACTTTTGGGAACCAGAGCTAAGAAAGATAATGGGAAGTTGGGTGAAAGAGAGCTAATCCTTCATTATCCCCTCCAGGAAAACCTGCAGCTGGGTGCTTAGTCTATTTGTATTACTGTTAACTTATATTGTCATGTTGTCTTTGAGGTCCCATATCTTACATTTTATTTTAAGAGGTTTTGTTCACTGGAAGAAATATGGAAGTATATAGCTATATTTTATCCCTTTGCAAATTAAATATATTTCTAGTAATAAGGTGAAAGCTTAAGCACTAGCACAAGTACTAACATAAGAAATGTTTTTGCACAGATACATATTTTTCATGAAGAAAAAGCAGATAAAGTATGGATATGTATTCTGGTATGTAAAATTCCCTAAGATATAAATCACACAGAAAAAAGGAGGGATTCATTTGGCTAAATGTACACATTGAGAGTGTGAATGCCTGCACCTGAGCTAATCACTTTAAGCTCCCTAGTAGTCAAAGGAGAGAAACAGGCCCTTCTAGGTCACAATTCCTCTTATCCTAAAATAGGCATCTGAAGTAGGTCAGATGAACTGCGCCCTGAGAGTGCCTATTATTCTCTACCAACTATAAAGGGAGCCTTGGTTGATTAATTCAGATTCAATGTAGATGTTTAAGGAAGATGAGATGAATCCCATTCAGGGAATCCAGAACGACTATTAAGAGACTAACAGCAAAAAGTGAGAATTCTTGTTTTCCAGATATATAGAATCCAAGATAATTGCATACATTTAGACACTGACTTTAGGTTCCTAAGTCATTTAGGCATTTTGGAATATTTTATCTTATTTCATACTGTATTTTCTTTTTGCTCTGAGAAACTACTGTCAACTTTTTATCACTGTATTTTAATCCTATGATCCATGACTCATATTAACTTTCTTTAAGAAAGATGAACACCTTCCCCAACCTTAAAAGACTTTTATGGATGAAAACTTAACAAAGCAAAACAATTCACCTTTTCATCTATTAAAAAAGTGCTGCACTACCAATAGCTTGGGAAATATAACATTAAAGACAGATCTGTCGTTAGGCTCACCAGTATAACTTGATTTCAGCAGGCGTGCTATGAACATTTTATCAGATGAACACCCAAGTTTCAAATCAAGCCGAAATGTCTTGGATTTTCTCTTTCAAATGTATGTGGAGAAACAATGGAGTCCAAACATATTTCTCCTCCGTAACTGTGACTCTGTTTCAATACTGAAAATACTGGATTATTTAAGAAACGGTTGGTTCAAATGTGAAAACAAAACAGTAGATAATGGAGGAGGATTTTTAATGAAAAAGATTTTTAAGAAGATATAACAATATCTTAGCTACAGCATACCAGACAGACCTTTACCCACTTAAAGTACAGATAGATAGTTTATAATGCCTTTAATCAGTAAATCAGTAAATTTTCCAGTGTCAGTGAAAAATTTCTGATCTAAAAGGTTATTTTTGAGTCCCTAACTATCATAACAAAGGAAGTATTCCATTTCATTTTATCACTGTCAATGTGGGTATATTATGATCATCTTAAAAAGAAAATCTAAAAAAAAAAAAGAAACCCAACCCATACATTTTATCATTCTTCAAGTTATTTGCTGGAGAGGAACTGAAATAGTAATTTTAGATAACAAATGTTTTCCAGTCTTTCGTATTCCAAACAAGAGAATAAACAATGAGGATTATAGAAGAAATATTAATAGGATTTAAAGCCCATTGAATTGATAGGATACCTTCCATTGACTTCTTTGGGCTTTTGATCAGATCCTAAAATAATGAAATACATTGAATTACTTCGGGTGCTTGGAGCTTGCTAACAAAACAAATTATAGTATATGGTGGTTTGAAAAAAAGAAGGGACAGTGTAGCCTTTGAGACCTCTCCCAGTTCTGTCTTTCTACATACAGATACTTCTGGCAAGCAAGATAGATACATCCAAGTAGCAAGTAAGAATGAGATTAATGTTACTTAACTTTTACCATCATCTTAAAATCTTTCAAACATCTAAAAATTAAGCATCTCAGCAATTTATGAAGGCTCCTTCTACACAAAATAAAAACCTCTAGAAAGTGTTGCAAATGACAGAACTTCCACACATACTTTAGATTAATCCCTCTCTAGTTGATGGCTCTCTCTACTGACCGTAGATGAAGTTTAGACACCTACTTAATATAAATTGCCAACTTCTGAACAGCTAGAGTTTGTTTACCTCAGCCCTCCTGAAACCCTTGAAATCTTGAACAAGCCAAATATTAACACCTGTGCATTTGTATTTTTGTGGTAGAGACCACCACCAAGAAATCAATGTATAAAGACAAGAGAAAAAACTTTTCCTTCTCTTCCTTTAGAGAATTCAATAAGCAGTACAATTATTTAAGCTCTTTACCAATGTATTTCATGTATTTCATGCTTGAATCTTTTGGTGTTTTGGTGTTTGAGGGTTTTTTTTTTTTAAATGTTCCTACAGTGAGGGCATTCCTAATGTCTCATTTTGTCGCGTGGATTACTTTGGTTCTAAGTAGAGTAAAGCTCAGATTTCAACCTTTGCCTCCATAGAGGCATAATGGAGATTTAAGAGCTTCTGTCTTGTAACTGAGAGCCAATTTTCATGAGCAATGTATTAATTTCATAACTTAAACCTTCACCGTTTAGCTTAGCTGAAATTATCCAGGAGGTCATTAAGTAGTTTACTGGAGACAGACATACAATCACATGAATCCATGTGTATGCATGTAGGAACACATGGATGCATAGTGGCATCCACATGGAAGTTTTATCTTAGTTCCAAGTGCTTGAAATAATGCAGGGATGTATTCTATCCCACCAGACTGGTGTTTTAATGAAGCTAGGGTATGCAATTCATGCCTGACGGTGTAAGATGTAGACATCTTTGAGATTTCAAAGACCTCCGAGATACTGCTGAAGGATTCTGTAGAGCAGAGAGAGGCAAATGTGGAGCAATCCATTTATCATGTTTTAGAAGCTGTTCTGAATGTGAAATTGAGTTGTTCTGAACCCCAGAAATTCACCTGGATCTTGTCTGGAGAGGCAACTGGATGGTTCACTCCAAAAGACAGTCGGGGAAAAATGAGTGGTTATACAATAACAAGTCCAAGTTTAAACATGTGGGAATAAACTGGAGAACTATGTTGTTTGACAGTCTAGATATACTTGCTAGGGCTAAAAAACCACGGGCAATGATAAAAAATGCCAAGGAAATTTGAGCACATTTATGCTATGTAACAGAAGTTATTCAACTGTTGAAGTTGCCACATAAGCTTCAAGTCCATTGCTTTGTCCAAAACATTTTAACATAACATTGTCTGTGAATACTCACCTCTACTCAGAATTGCTGCAGCCACACCTGGAGTTGTGTGTCCAGTTCTGGGCTTCTCAGTCCAAGAGAAGCCTGGTGTGCTGGTTTTGGCTGTGATTGAGTTAATTTTCTTCATAGTAGCTAGTATGGGGCTATGTTTTGGATTTGTGCTGAAAACAGTGTTGACAAAGTAGGGATGTTTTTGTTATTGCTGAGCAGTGCTTGCACTGAGCCAAGGCCTTTTCTGCTCCTCACCCCACCCCACCAGCGAGTAGGCTGGGGATGCACAAGAAGTTGGAAGGGGACGCAGGTGGG